GATAGATAGATAGATAGATAGATAGATAGATAGATAGATAGATAGATAGATAGATAGATAGATAGATAGATAGATAGATATAGGGACGGGTAAGGGAGTGTTGTGAAATACATTTTCTGTTGTATGACTTCCAGTTTCCATATAAACTTTATTGATATGAACAATTTTTGGTAGTTTAAAACAGAGGTTCTCAAACTGGGGTCCCAGGACTTCCAGGGGTCTGCGAGCTGTGTCTTGGGGGTCCTCCAAAATTTCAATAAACTATTAATTTGGTTTTTATTTTAAAAACAGCTTATGGAGAACAATGCACTAGTCATTCTATGGAAGCCCATTTCCGCCACCCTGATAAAAAAATAAAACTTGTATCTCATTATTATGAGATGCTATCTCATAATTATGAGATAGCTAAGTCATAATTATGAGATAGCTAAGTCATAATTATGAGATAGTATCTCATAATTATGAGATAGCTAAGTCATAATTATGAGATAGTGTCTCGTAATTATGAGATAGCTAAGTCATAATTATGAGAAACAAGTTTTTTTATCAGGGTGGCAGAAATGGGCTTCCATATCAAACAAACATACAAAGCCAGACAAATAAAAACAATATTCCCATTGCATATAGGGGTTCAAATGACAGTAACATATCTTTAAAACAGCCTGGGGTTTATGAGGGGGGTCCCTGGTAATTTTTCATCCTTGYAAGGGGTCCCCAGAACCAAAATGTTTGAGAACCCCTGGTTTAAAACASTGCAAATAAAAACAGTTTCTTTCACTAAACTTGTTGCTTTGAAATTGCGAAGTTGTCTCTAATGACGAAGACCAACAAGCAATACCCGGAGAACCACCGACACACCCAAGAAAACACACCCATGGCTGCTTTTAAGACATGAAGAGACCTGAAAACACTTGAAACACGACGCTGTCGGCCACTTCAGCTCCTCGGCCTGTGTACACCCGTTATTAATTTACAGTTTCTTTATTTGTTCACATGTTAAGGTGTCCCCTTCACTGGAGACCAATTAAATGATAAAGCGGTGCTGTTGCAGGTTTATGTAAATACACGCTGCAAGAGGCTTGTATTGATAAATGGCACGGAATTATAAAACAGTAAATAACTGCGGGGGTGAACATTATTTCTTTTTTGTTTGATAAGGCTGCAGAGGAAAGTGTTGCGTCTTACGGTGAGTAGCACACCTTTTTTTTTCCTACTTTTTAAGGGCTATTACATTTAAACGGGATAGAAAAGGACAAAATTAATGCCATACAGAAGAGGAAACGAGGGAGAAACACTTTCTCCAACTCCACGTCTCAACAGCTTGCGGACGCTAAAAATGGAGTCTCTTATTGTGGCAGTCAACATCATTAAAGTTGCATTAAGCAATATTTTTGCTTTTACATAAACAATGAATCAGATGGCTCCCTGAATCAACAAACTATTTTGCCAGTAGCCATATGCCTTTTATTTAGATGATCGTGTTTTTCATCTTAGAGCGAGAAAATCAAAGAAACACTGGTTCATGTAAAAAAAAAATCAAGCCCTGCTGCTCTCAGGCCATAAGCTTACATTAGCCATTTATACGCAAGATGTACAGCAAACTAGATAAGACGTGACTGCCAGAGAAAGTTAAAACGTTGAAAGCCAAACAGACAGCAAGAATTAAAGGAATAACTCCCTCTGACACGTCTCCACGGGGAGCGGTGAGGTAATACAAGATTTGCCACGACGGCAGTGAGAGATGATTACCGCAGTCACAGGAATTACTTTTGCCCCACTGTCTGTGACAGATCACACGTTTTACATCTGTTATTACCTGGAGAACAGTTTTTCTGCTGTACAGTTACACACAGGGTGGATTGTGACACGTGCAGCGTCCTCGACGCTTGTTTCCAAAGCTGCCGCTCCTGAAACAATGCATTTGTGGTGAGTTTTCATTGGCCTGCTTGGACATCCAGGATCTGCAGCTCTTCTATGCTTTTTATTTGACCGTTCTTCTTCTTTTGTTTAGTTGTAGCACTGTTCCATATCAAAAGTACAAAAAAAAGGGGGGGGGGGGGGGGGGTTGACAAATATTCAAAGATATGTCACCCAAAAACTTTGACAACATAAACAGGTAAGATACTAGTTGTTCATATCTTTTTCACAAAACCCCAATTCAAAAAATCCACACTATAAATAACTTTATATCTTGCGTGTTTACTTTATAACAGTTCAGCTGTGCGTTGGAATTGAATTCTTAGTTTAAAAAAACATCAACTCATTTGCTATAATTTATGTGAGTGTACCTTCCATGTCCTTTATCTCACTCAAATAACAGAAATTAGAACATTTTAAATCTTCTTTTTTTCCGTTTATGTCGATAGGGGTGGTCCTGTTTCTCTGTGTGATACYTACAGCCCTGCAACAAAACAGAACCCAGAACGTGACATAAAATATAAGTAAAATAATAGAAAACAAACTGTATAACAGAAACACAGACTTGTTATTRGAACACATTGCTTATTGCAGAGCACACAGATTTAATTATGAATTTGAATATTGCCCCATATACTAATATAATGCCTGCCAACATTAGCTAGATGGGAGGTTTGAGTGCTTTTAAATGAACCCTTTTCGTTTCACAAACTCACCTTCATGTGAAAAGTCAACTCCTTCCTTATGGCACAAATTAAAAATAAATACTGTAAACTCAGAAGCCCCATCCAGATTAGGAGGTCACAAAGTTCCCTGATAACTCTAAGCTGGTCTCAGATCAATAATGCAGGTGAAGCTACAGTAAAGTGATGCAAGGAACTGACAGACTGACTAACAGGATCAGACTGTGTTCGTGTTGAAGTCCGACAGGGTCGAGGACGGTCGTCTTCTCTGCAGATCTCTTATCTTTCTGTACTTCTTCAGGAACTTCTCCAAAATCTCTGTCTGAAAATGTTTCACGGTGTAATTTATAGAATTGTATTATTTGATACTGATCAAAACACATGAGGAAAACACAAGAGGAGAAAAAAAACACTTATTRATTTCTGTAGTTCAAGTCAGGAACTGACAGAAAGCAAACAGAGCAAACACGAGGATGTTTACGTTAAGAAGAAAAGAAAGGAGGCAATAAAACCACATCACAATCATTTAGTTCTAATACAGGATCTAAGATAAATATTGGCAGAAAATTATTTTAACCCCACCCCTAGCGCTGATGTAAATCAGGTTAACCAGGTTAAAAAAAGTCTATAGGGGAATGAATGTASAGTAAGTCAGAGCAATGTCCTTGTTAGTGGGTGTACTAGTTTTTTTATTTTTATTTTTTAACACCATTTTAGGACTTTCTGAAATTTAATGAGCAACTTTATTTGACCTACAAGTAATCCTCATAAAGTTAAAATGGCAATCCTTATGAGACAAAACATTAATTCACATGTGTCAAACACAAGGCCCTCCCCACCCCAAAAAAATTTTTTTTAACTTAACATGAAATTTGTTTCTTATATCAATGGTAAACTTTAAATGTATGGTTAAATGCAACAAAATTACTTTAATAAAAATAAATTAAATTAAAATAAATTAAATTCCTGTCTCTGAGCTGTTGGCTTGAAGTAACTGAGCAGTTTAGTTGGATAGCTCAGTACTAATGTCTGAAAATAAGCTGCTTTAAAGTCACCATCAAACATAAACTAAGTCTGCCATAATGCAGCTCACTAGAAACTCAGTGAGTAAAACTTTATTTGTTTTACTTTTAATAGTATTTCTGTATTTATTACAGATTTAGACCGTCGTACACTTAGTTCTTATCAGTGTTTAAAAGAGGACGTGTTAAAACTCTGTTTAGTCAAAGTTAAACATGAAACATCAAAGTTCATTACAACTGGCCCTTCGAGGGCCAACATAACGCTCATGTGGCCCTCGGTGAAAAAGAGTTYGACCCCCCTGCTCAGGGTTATGGTGCGTTCACACCGAACGCGATTTCAGCTTCAAAATCGCACCCAACGCTGAAGTTTGAAGCTTGTGCACTTTGAGGT